TGTATTGGTGTATTTGATTACAATAATAGCGAAAAAATTGCAAATAGGGAAAAGGTTTGCTTGCAATAAAGTAGCAACTGGGTATAGTTTTCCCATATTTTTCTTGGTAGCCTTAACCGTTCGTTGTACCATGTTATAAAGAAAAACATAGCGGGGACTTTCGAAAAATACACGTGGATTTACTGTCGCTTAAAAACATTTCAGAAGCAAAGAGGGTCCTGTTCTACAAGCGTTTAGAACGGTGCCTGGTACATGGTAAGTGGTCAGTCTGCTGGGTAAACGAACACATGGGGCAAAAGACATCGGCGTTTTGAACACCATGAAAAGAATAATATGCTCACTTATCTACAAAATACTTCACCGCGATTAGGCAGCACGAGATTTATCAATTAGGTCTTTTGTTTCCCTCCAGTATCCCATTTGCCTGTCCCCTGGTGAGGCATCTTGTCCGGTGTGTCTGCCACAGAAAGTGCCTCCTGTGTCAGAGGGGAAAACGGAGGGAGGGGACTCTTTAAACTGGCCCAGCACATTTTAAAACGGTCGTGGGTTGTAGGGGGCTGAGAGAGGGAGGCTGTGGGGGTGGTGTAAGCTGACAGAAGGAATAGAGAAGATGAGAGAACCGCGGGGTTTCAAGCCTCATCGCCCCGCAGCCACATCCTTGACAGCGAAAGATGGTTGAAGGCTTCCCACGAGCTGGGGCGCAAGAGAAGGTGTCCGCGCGCACGGCAACCCCAGTTCTTTTCTTTTCAAAGATTTGTACAATGAGGTAATTAGACCGAAAGATACGAGGGGCTTTTCTAGAAACGAAATGCCATTAAAACAAAGCCCAGGATTATGGATCTAAAGGGAACGGAGGAAGGGCGAGTCGGCCGCCTTTCCGAAACCGGTCCTCTCGCCGGCGTTATGTGATCTAACTCAAAGGCGTGGAGTGCGGGGTTGAGTGCCGAGGTCTGGAAACATCTCTCGAGGGCTCTGCCCCTCCTCCCCAGCTCTTCCTCCACCCGTTTAACACTAGAAAGTTACAGCTTCTGCACCTGTCTTTGTAAGTTTGGCGATCTTGACCTAGGCTTATCTTGTCCCACAAATTTGAGTTCTGTTGCACAAATTAACGATGGGATTACTACAATTCTAAAATTCCCTTTACACCGTTTGGGGAAGGAACGTGAGTCTTTTTTTTATTTTATTTTAAATTCTTGATCTGCTTTTTTTCTTCATTAGAGTACTCTGATTTTTCAAGATCAATTGTCACATTTAATTTGTGGCTTCTCTGAATCCTTTGAAGTGTTACAATTACTTAAAAAGTTTCTGGTCACTCCAATGTTTGGGTTCTCTTAGGAAATCACTAAGGCATGACACCACGTTAAAAAATGTCTTAAAAAAAATGTCTTAACTTAGTTTCTCAGTGAAACACAGGCAGCTCTGTTATTTTAAGAACTCTGTTAGTCTGTGAATCCTAAATGCACATACTTCAAATTAAGTCCAATATTTTGCCCTATCTGAAATAT